TTGTGTTCTGAAATTATAAACCTATATCCCGTGCAAAGTTTCCAAATTTTCTCATTGATTACTTTGCATTAATGAACAATTGTGCTAAATTAAGGGGATGAGCCGCGTCCTTGACCGCCCCCATCTGTCCTACTTTGAGCTTTTGGTGAAGAAGGTAAATCGCAAATTATGCCTCCAAGGGTACAGGGTGGAAGAATGCTTGTACACTTATACTTACCCATTGGCCAAATCCATATTTCAGGATTCGAACCCTTGAAGCGACAGTCTCAAGTAAAGTTGGAGTTTTNTTGTGTTCTGAAATTATAAACCTATCCCGTGCAAAGTTTCCAAATTTTCTCATTGATTACTTTGCATTAATGAACAATTGTGCTAAATTAAGGGGATGAGCCGCGTCCTTGACCGCCCCCATCTGTCCTACTTTGAGATTTGGTGAAGAAGGTAAATCGCAAATTATGCCTCCGAGGGTACAGGGTGGAAGAATACTTGTACACTTATACTTACCCATTGGCCAAATCCATATTTCAGGATTCGAACCCTTGAAACGACAGTCTCAAGCAAAGTTGAAGTTTTTTCACCTTCCCCTTTTACCACTTGAAGATATGTCATGGGGGCAACAATTGTGTTAGATTAACCCCTAGTTTGGACAGATAGTAGTTTTCCAAGACAATCAAATCTTCAAGAGTATGGAATTCTACTAAAATGTCATTTGGTCTAACACTACTAAACCCCAAAAATGAACCTAGCCAAGGGTATCGATGACGTCAATTAGGTAAAAAAGGATGTAGTCATTGGTAGACTTTGTAAATCGTGACGATTATGGGTCAACCCTGATGAGTAAAGTTTAATCAATGCGATCGAATAGTCCTATATGCATAACAAATTCCATGTCACGTCATCGAGAACGAACACCTACTTATTCGCCACATTTTCCTTACTATACTACTTCTTGATTTTATTTTATTTTCATATTCTGCCCAACGCATTTTTATGTAAAAATACATTTTCTCATTCATTGAATGAGTGAAATAGAATATGTCAATTCAAAAAACTAAAAACTTTTTTCTAACTTTAATCATTAAACTAAATTTTTTATTTTTAAATTTTATTAACTACTAATAAATAGTCATATTTATAAGTGAATTTTTCAGCTTGGCCAAACATGCACTAATCTTCTATTTGTATATTTTAAGGCAATATAAGATTTATGTTGCATAGCTATTGTATTGTATTTACATATTAATAATCTATTATAATAAATAAATATTTGACATAAAATGTACTAATTAAATTAATTATTACAGTAAAATTTGTAGGATAAGTAACTAATACATATCATGTTCGGATATTTAGGTTATTGGCTCTTGTTGATAAATATTATTTTTAGAATTTTTTTTCTTTTTTCTTTTTTATGTCTTTGTCATCATAGTGTGAAATAATAATTGACTTGATTAAAAGGACCTCAAAACTATAGCCCTGTTTGGTTCAAAATAAAATCTGATTTTAATCTCAAATTAAAGTCAACAATAACACATTTCATGAGTCCACAACTTTTTAACCACATATTTCATCAATTTTTATCAAAATTTATAAAAAAATCTGATTTTAATATATACTAAATAGAGAATATATGTGATGAACATTGTATTAATTAATTCTTATTTAAACTCACTAAAACACCTATATATTTTATATAATTGAAGACATATAAATATACATATTCATAAATGCACATGTTTGTCTTAGCTTAAACTCCTAATAAATACTATTTGTTTCAAACTATGTTTCAACATATTGCCTTTTTCTCCGTACTTTTGAGTTTAAGAATTACTTATTTTGAAAGTAATT